GCAAGTTGTGTGGGGCGCGTAGATTTTTCACATGTGTCATTAGGTCATTACGTATCTGTTATCTCGATGAGTATACGAAGCGCCGGATGCCCGACGCTTATCTCGAAACGGTTTAAAATTTTACTCGCATGTATATTCGATAATGCGTGAACGCACTCACGCACTCATGCACGCACGACTCCGAAGAGCACATCGCGGGACGCACGTCCGCGGCGGCAGTTTCATTTTATAGTTAATCGCTCTTTATCGAACCAGTCGGCCGCAGCTTCCGCGTAAATTATTGCTGTCATAAATTTATCCCCGATCGGTAATTATCGGACCGAGCCATCCGTCGGAACGGGCGCGAATTACGAGCCAATTCCAATTGGCGCTTCAGTCTATCTCTGACCGGACGCGCGACGCGCGAGAGCGGGCGGCGTTATTGTTACCGGGAGGCGACTTGGGACGATTTACTGCAGTCGAAGCTTCGTTTGAAGCACACAGCACGCGACAATTAACAATTTCGAGCGTTTCGCGAATTTCTCTGTTACGGTGTCACACGCTTATCCGCCGCGCCGATGATACGGTGATTGCGGTAACTGCGAGTCCAGCCCCGATAATAGCCGGACGGCGGATTGAATCGCGCGGAACGTAGTTGCATTGTTAACGTGAATTATAATTGAATCGCTCCGCATTTTCAACACGCCCCCCCCTCCCTCCTCTCTCTCTCTCTCTCTCTCTCTCTCTCTCTCTTTCTCTTTCTCTTTCTCTCGCTCGCTGTCCCGCGTCCTCTTGTGCATTTAATGACGCAAACGCGCGCCGCGAAGCGCGTTAAAATCTCGATAATAATTAATGCGATCGAATGTTTGCGCGTGACATAATTATGCGAGATTAAACTGAGTGTGTAGCTTCACAATTTGTTTTATAAACGTTCTCTCTTTATCAGTTTATCTTCTCGAGAAATGACAGGTTTTTATCAATCTGCGCAAAATAACAGTAAATAAACATTTTCACTCGTCTCGTCTAAAGTTTTGCAGAAGATCACCACAACGTGGAAGATGTTTTTTTTTTTTCTAAATTCGCGCGCAATTGTATTCCGTTCTCTCTCTCTCTCTCTCTCTCTTTGTAATATCTTCGAAACAATCTGATGCCATTTGAAAACGAACAATGTAGAAGATAAACGCGCGAATAAGGATTGCCATTCCCACGATCAACGTCGAAATTGGCACGTATATCGCACGCGTATCTAACGGGTGGACAGAATCGAGCGTGCGTGCAGGTTACCGCGGGCGATTGCAAAGCTCACGCGAAAGGTAAACGAGTGCTCATAGATCGTAGATAAGTACAGTCCGGGCGCCAACATCATTTTCAGCTTCAAGAAGCATAGTCGAGGGTTGTGGGAACCTGACCGTTGTAGTCATGCTTTGTCAATTGCGAATCTCAACACGGTGAGACAACTAAATTACATAGATACTTAGAGTGCGCCGCAAGTAAAACGGCGAAGAAAGACGGGAAGATCATAATAATGATGAAAACGACTACGAATGTGGGAATTAATTAGAAGTTAATTTGCAAAACCAAATTTATATAATTGTATTGACTTTATGATTTATGGCGTAATTAATTATATTAATGACATGTTTTTATCGCACATATTAACGTATAAATATTTAATTGTTGTGTTACGCATATATATAACGGATTTTTCTAAAATAGATAATTAAACAAGCGCAACTAACTTCGTGTCACACTTAATCAACAATGTTTTAGCTTCAAACAAAGCGTCAAAAATCCATCCAATTTAATCTTTGCCACTGCGATAACTGTACCGTCCAATTAACCGGATGATAAATATTTGCAAAAATATTTTTCGCGAGATTGATTCGCAAATATAGCGTTGTGCCGCGCTAATCAAGGAATTAATTTCGTCGCGTGATGAAACCAATTAATTTACCATAAAAATGACGGCTGTTTGCGTAATCGCGGCGAAAGTTTCTCTCGCAATCGCGCGTTTGTCTTTGGCGTTACTTCTCTGATGATATTTCAGACATAATGCGCAAACACGCCTGGTGGCAATTGCCGCGTCCCTGTAAACGAGTCTACTTATCTCTGGGGCTGATTTACCACCCTCTCTGCAACCTTGTCGTGCCGCAACACCGTTCCTTCTCTTTTCCTCTTTCTCTCTTTCTCTTCTCGCTCGCAGAATGAGCAATGGCCTGAAACGGACGAGAACAGCTTGTTAATTAACTCAATTAAATCGTCAGATATTACTTTCGTTCTGCCGTTTTGTCCTTCCGCGCTCTCCCCTTTTGCGCTCCCATCAACGTAATATATTCATAATACAAAGAGAGAGAAAGGATCGTTATCCCCGAGCGTGTCGTAAATTCGAATAAACCGAGTGCCGCGTGCTTTATTATACAATTTTCGCCGCAGTTTCCGAACTCCCGCGTGAAACCCCCCTCGCGACGCGGAGAGAACAATTAGAGAACGAGCGGGATTCTCTCCTGTCCCTCGCTCGGAGGGAGGAGAACAGACACTTATCGTGTTTTCGGGATATAGAATCGTCGCCGGTCGCGAGAACTGGGCAGCACCAGGTGCCGGTCGTTCTCGAAAACAAGAATAATTACGCGATTTCGCGGTGGCAGTTCAGCGAAAAAGACCGGAAAAGGGGTTCGCGCGACAAGGAAGGATGGACAAGGAAGAGAAACGAGGGAACGGTTTGGGAGGAAGGGGAGGTCGGAAAAGCTGACACCGGTTTCGCGGCAGTGGCTGCTGCGTGCTTTACGGGGACAAGCGGCTTAGCCAGCTCTGCCGGCGGACATAATTCATCCGGCGTAACTCGGCGTCGTGTAACTCTCTCTCTCTCTCTTTCTCTTCCCTCGGTAACACGTTTCCGACGCGTTTCGCCTGGAAGGTACGAGAGAAATTCCCTCCGTCCTTGTTTATGATATCGCGCGACTGTATATTCAGATTCGGTCACACCCCCGCGCGGTGGCGGCATCTCGTCTACGGAAAATGGCCTCTTACCGCGCGGTCGTGCCGCATTATTTACGAGACGAAGCGGGCCGGGAGACGCTTTAGCAACCGGTCCGAATTCGCGCGACCGGGAGTTCATTCATTTGGCAGTTGCGAATTCGCTTCCGGATTGCGCATTTCGTGCGGTTACGATAGAGCACTGTGTGCAAACAGCCGCGTTTAAAAGCCGCGAGTCTCACGCTGTGAAAACGCCATCATCAGCGTGGAGATGTTCCTCATCTCGCGGTTAATTTTACGCAATAACTCCGGGGGCGCGAAAACATTATCCCGGCAAACATTTACATTTATTAAAGCAATTAAAAATGTTTTTAATTAAATGCTCTAAGCTGTTTAATTTTTATTTATCGTTTTCTTTATATTCGTCTGCTTGCTTGTGTACAACGTAGAAGAACGGTGTTTGAGTTAGAATATCGCTGACGAGATGGAAAGGGCTAATAAATCAGCGGTAACTCTCTCTCTCTCCCGAGCCGCGCGGAGGTATAAACTTTATAATTCGCAAACTCCCCCGATCTCCTCTACGCAGGAAGGCGTTTCCCCGTGAACAAATCGAATCCGACAGAAATTAGCGCCAGGGTGGGTTTACGAATCTGTCTTGTTGTCACGAGAAATAATTGCCCCCAGCATTCGTGCGAACGGGAGAGGGAAAAGGAGAAGGCTGGCTCTCACTCTCTCCTGCGGGGGGGTTATGACGCCGGGGAGAGGATGCGCCCGCGGTTATTAGTTTAGGATGCTGCAAAGTACCCCGAAACAAAGTCTCGTCTCTCTGTCTCTCTACCGGGTAATCAATACACGAGCATTCCTTGCCTCGCTTCACCTCGTCGAGTTTAACCTCGAACACCACCGATGAGAAGCTTCCGTTTACTTGTTCCGTTTCAAGCGTCCGGAATAGCAGTATCTTCAGCTAATAAACCACTCCCTCGGTTCCTATCCTCTTTACGATGCGGGTAAGGTCGGCTAAATTATAATACGCTTTTTTTTTTTTCCACGGTGCTTCCCTTCGCTTGCCGAAACGCTCCCGGAGCTTTCCTGTGAGCCTCTTACATTTCGATTTATTTGATATATTAACGGTGAAGCGTAAAGAAAAGCGAGGGACAAGCGAAACTTTTTCAAATGTTCAAAGAAATAATTGCGCGTTGCCGAAGTTTTCGGTAGTTTTTATGTACGAAATACACAAAACGCGGAGGACACACGTGTAATTTTCCTTGCATTGTATTTTTTGCGGAATTTAATGAGCATGTTTATCGTGACGTAGCATCTGATGCGTTTCGAACTTCCCGGTAATTTTTGCAGATGTCTGGCGAGCATCTGCCTCGATTAAGTAGTTTAACCTGTAATTTATTTCACCGACAACGGTCGGATGCTCGCAATTTACGCTTCAAATTGAAATGTAAAATCATCTTGGCACACTGGATTTCCGATTGAGGAGTTCGGGCCAAAAGTGGAATAAATACATAATTTCTTCGAGAGGTCCTGGTTTTAAATCTCAAGTACATAAAACCGTGCAAATTACAACCTTACGCCGCTTCTCTTTCGAGCCCTTCAATTTTTTTCGGTTTATGTTTACACACACTCACACACGTTCTCGACGAGTCTCTCACGCGATCTTAATCTCTTTAATAATTAATTCTAATTAATCTTAGGTGCGATCTGCAACAACATGCAGTTCAAATGACATTATTTGTTTAGAATCGTTACGTGAATCTTATTCACGTTTGCCAAAGAAACGTCAAGTGGGATCACGTGTATTTCATAAATCACGAGGCGCGTGATTGCAGTTGGCACGTTATTTGCGCGGGTAATTCGTACTGTTGATAATAATGGAAATGTAGTCGTTAGTGCTACAAGGAGAAGGAATGACCGGCGACGTTCGCGCTAAGCTCGGCAAACATTATGTAATTCACGTCGCGTACGCGTCATATTTTGTTTGCGCGATGCTAAGCCGCGGTGAGAGTTGGAGAATAATTCTAGCCATTTCTCTATTTCAGTCCGAGCAGTACGGCGCTGGGTTCGCTGGACCAACTTAAAGAGTATCTGACGACAGTGGGAACTTGCAAGTGCGGCCTCGAGTGCCCGTTCAGACCCGAGCAGGTCTTCAACTTTGACCCCAAGGTAAGTCGGAATGAAAATTTTCATTCTATTTCTAAAGAGGATCAAAGAAATATAAGTAGATCAAAATTTTTTTTCTCTCTCTTTCTCTCTTACTTATTAAATAGAATATTTTTTTATATCACATGTAATTTCGTTAAAAATTAGTTTTTTTTTTTTACGTAGAGATTAGATTTGAGTGTAATAAAATTTTGCTGCGTAGAAGAGAAAGAAAATACGAATGAATAAGAACATTTTATCTCTAATTACAGCGCGTACCTATTGCGCAAATATGAGCAATTTCCGATCGCGTCACCTCTCTCATTTACACAGTCGCAGTTAAAGTAAACGAAGGAAATATCTGTGTCTAGAATGTGTCTCTCTCTATTTATCTATCCGTCTCTAGAAAGTTGCAAAATCAAACATCCGTGAGTTTAAAAACTGTGGTTTTGCTAATTCAAGTCGAGAATTATTTAGAGAGAAGCGAAACATCGAAGAAAAGAAATCACAGAGACAGAGAGAGAGACAGAGACAGAGAGAGAGAGAGTACAAGCTTTGAAAATCGTTTTATTTGTACTTTGTTTAATTTAAAATCTCGAAAGCGCATATCTCTTCGGGAAACCGCTTCGGGGAACTCGGGTTTATGGAGGCGTAATTCTCTTCGCTACTCTTAGGTACAGGTGCATGACAGTCGAGCGGTTAAAATCTCTCGATTTCACGTCCCAATTACGTTCTCGTTCCGAGGCAAATAAGCGCGGTTGACGCGCGATGCGCGCTCCTGTCGCAATCATCGCCGAGAGAGAAATCTTCGGAGTTATAGTCGCGCATCAATACGGTCGCCGCGGCGCGAGTTCGATACTCGCAATGCGTGTACGGGGTCTTGTTGTTGCACACAGGCGGCGTTCGGAGTTATATTCGAAACGCTCATTACGTCCTCATCGTTTCGCGTTTGCGTTATGAAAAGCCATTCCCGATGCATCGCCCGACGAGTGAAAGTTCATCGGGCAACCTGTTCCAGCCCGCGGCGTCGTGCGCGCGCGAACATAATCGCGCTTAATCACCGCCGGCGTTTATTTATTTATCGTGCGCGCTCGTAATTAGTCCGTGCAGTTATCCGCGTGTATTGTACTCGTGACTTATGCCGGGAATAAAATATCGCCTCTGTGCGTGCAGACGACGACGACGACGACGACGACGACGACGACGACGACGACGACGACAACGACGACGTTTTACCGGGAAACGGAGTCGCACCTCGTCGATTTTGCTGTTCTTTTGAATCGATTAAAAGAAAGTGTGGTAATTCTTTCCCTCTCTCGCGCGCGCGCGCGCGCGATAAGCATCGATTACGTGTTGTCGTGCGGTCGATCCGAGAGAGAATTTTATTTCTCCCTCGTTGGATATATTTTTATCGGGATTTATTGTTTCTTTATTTGTTTGTCGCTCGAAGGTGACACGCACGTCCCGCGCGCAAAGAGAAATATCGCGCTCGTGCATGTTAACAACGGCGTCTTATTATACGCTATCGTTTCCTGACGATCTCTAATGTTTCTCTCCCGATTCGACCAAAAGCTCGTGTTCTTTCTTTACTCTCTCTCTCTCTTTCTCTTTCTCGCTTCTCGAATTCGAAGAAACGACGATGAATCACGTCCGCGAAACCGCGCCGGAAAATCGTACCTCTCACGAAACATCGCCGCGAACAAAACACAATCGCGCGTTTTGCCGCTATTTCTGGCTGACGCGTGCGTACACACACACACACACACACATACACGTGCACATTCCCGTCCGCAAATGCGTAATTTTTCTTACTTCCGCTATTTAGATATTTATGGTGCATTCGCGAGCGCGCGCGCCAGCACGTATCTCGGTTCGCGCCAACGATCTCGAAGAAATATTGCGATCGTGCGTGCCAACGATCGCGGTTTATTAAGAAATATTGTGCCCCGGGCACGTAACTGTTGTTCCTCTCTTTTCGAGCGAAATGTATCCGCAAAAAAGTGCTCCGTATTCGTTCGCGGTACTTTTCATTTCGCATGCGGGAACTTCAACCGACCGTCGAAATCGCTTCACGGCGAGATCGGCTACTTATACGGTCGCTCTCTCCTGCGAGATTACAAATTCGATTTACATGGATGAGGTTGTCTTTGAACGGAGAGAGAGAGAGAGTGTGATTAGGATAATCCTTTTGCGCGCGTGCAAATTAAAAATTGAGAAAAACAGTACCCGACGCAACGCGCAGCGTTTTTTTTTTAGTCCGATAGGTAGAAGAAGAAGAGAAAAAAAAGTGAAAAAGAGAAAGAGGTAGAAAGGACGCTCATCGCTTTTGCTTAATTATTCCGGTAGCATGCGACGATATACGCGGAAAACGTATAATTATCCGTGCACCTGCTTGCTAACTACTCACTCAGTCGCGACTGCTGCTCATCGTCCTACACCGGGTGCACTGTCGGTGCGTTAATACGTTCCCTAATTAAAGTTTATCGTGTTTCACCGATCTGAGGAGAGAGAGAGAGAGACTATAGATACGCAGATCCGTTCCACCGTGTCGACGACATAACGATCAACATGCTAATAATTAATAACCATTTGCATATCTCTAACACTGTAACACGAGTACGATACGCATCGGGTTTATCGGCTATGACTTATGATCGTCGTTGACATCCCCGTCGCTTCGTGTTATGCATCGGATTCTTTGTGTTACATTAAATCGATATTATTAATTACTTACCACCGGAGCCGTTTAATCGTTTATTGTATCCCGCGAGGAGAGGATAATTGAAGCTCAAATACAAACATGAGCTTTTCTAAGAAAACGTCTCTTGTTATTTTATATCTACTTGTATCTTATTCCCAAGTGACTGAGTTTCAATTTCGAAGATTTTTAACCGTTTTTTTTCTTCGGACTTGAATGGTCGCGTCTCAACGACATTAAAAAAAATGTGAAATAGCAGCGACGATAATAATCGCTGAGATAAACCGTATTTTCACGGTGCTTCGCAAAATCTATCTTCTGGCGGAGCATAGATGGTATCGCCGTGGCGTGTATGTACAATGCAAACCCACCGCGGACAATACCGAGTGCTCGAGTGCTCGTTCGTCTCGAACAGAATAAGAGCGAGTGAGAGAGAAACAAAGTATCCGGACGAGAGAAATATATACGGATTGTCGGATGAAATCGGCACGAGATGCTCTCGGGCACTTCGCGCTGCATCTCCACAAGCGTGCTCCGTTCACGGCAGTCCGGTCTCTCAACTCGCGACACGCGGCGAACAAGGCGACACGAGATTATTATGGTAATCGAGCAACATCGCTCACGGCCGCCCACACCTCGCGCTTTTTTTTTTCTTTTACCGAGGTCTCAATGCATCAGACCGAACGATATCGCGTCTAGATACACTAGTTCGAGTAAGGAAAGGTCGTAGAGAGATGGTACACAATTTTTATACACGTTTTAATTTTTATGTATATATTTTATACATTTTTATAATGCCATGGACTGGCATTGTAAAGATATAATAAATTTTGTTACCATGGACCACTGGCTGCCTAAAAAACAATCTATACTAGTTGAACTGACTGAGTCCTGTGAGACCCGCGCGATTTTAAAAACAAACATTTCTGCGAAAAATCAATATTTTTTCAATTTTTTTGTTTGAATTGAAAGTTTGAACGTTTTTGCGTCGATAAAAAAAGACAAATTGAAAAAATCTTTGGTAGTTTTTTCGAAGATGTAAGCGTTTTAAAACAAAACAGTACACGAAAGGTTAAGGTACAATTATCTGTCTTTATACAGTTGTATAAAAATTTCGTTTTAATTAGTGTTTTAATTAGGTTATGTTAGTGTTTTTTATAAGATTTGTAATTAAATATTTTCTGTTTTACATAAGATATAAGATACATATGATGATACATAATTGCATGTATAATGTAAATTATATCTCTTGAATTAATGGCGTGGCGCAGTGTGCAAAATAAACATCGTCTTAACATCGCGCATTAATATCGGCGAGCGCGTTATCGACAAAATATTGCGCCAAGCAGACGTGACATGCTTCAGTATGGACCTGACACACAGGCCAGGGTAATATCGAAACACGTAACGATAATGGATCGGTTCCTCGCGATACGAAGCCCGATACAACGTCTTTCTCAGGCGACTCGCTCCTGGCGCGTTCACGAGTGACTCTCACACACACACACACGCGCGCGCGTGTCCATGAGTATCTCTCCACCTGCATTAATCAGGCAGCGTAACTATCGGGAGCGATCTCTCACGGTCTATACCATCTGCCGGAGACAGCGGCCTTAACATCTCTCCTACGGGCCTTTGATTTGGTCCGATTCTTTATCGCCCCCGCGCTACCGACCGGTCGGATTCCCCTTCTTGTTCCTTTCTCTCTCTCTCTTTTCCTTTTCTCCCGATGCTCCTTTTGTAACTGCCGACGTTTCCGCCTATTGTTGCGCATACAACGGCGCGAGGAATCGCCGATGCGGGGAGCGATTCGTACGGTTTCCCGCGGCCGTATCCTTTCTCGAAACGCCTATCGCGTCCGTGAACTCCGTCCGAGTTCAGCCGCACGTGGAAATCACCACGGAGGAGCGAACTTTAATCTTCCGAGATCGCCTGAGCGATACATAATGAGAATCTTTCTCTCTCTCTTTCTCTCTCTCTCTCTCTCTTTCTGTCAATTCCCCGAGATACTCTGAGTTTGCCCATTCTGTTTAATCAGCAAGCAATTAAACGTAGCTGCAGCCGTGAAGAAAGCTGCGCTCGTGTAATGATACACCATTTTCGCGAGTGGTGATAATTAACGCGTGAGGTAAATTACATTCCTTATCATTTCGAAGTCGGCATTAAGTTTCCGTTTGTCGCGCGCGAAGTCTTTCCGCGCGTTCGCGCTTCGAGGCGTTAGTTTATGGAGTTGTTGCTATCCATTATCGCTCTCGGAAATTGCCGGATGACTCGGGCGGTATACCTATGCACATCTCGACGAATGTATCACAGACCAGCGCTTAAA